ATAGAGAGAGAGAGAGAGAGAGAGAGAGCCGCCAGGTCCGGGACTCAAACCTCAGTCGGTCATATGGGAGTCCAGTGCCCTTAACACCATGCCACCTGCTGGCCTCTGGCATGTATGCACTTGTACCTGGCATGTTTTTCTAACCACCAGGTCTAGGACTCGAATCAGACAGTTAGCCATGTGGAATCTAGGCACCTTAACCACCACACCACCAGCTAGCTCTGTTTTTTTTTTCTCTCTGTAAATATAAATATGTAACAAACCTTTGAAAAATGGAATGGAAATACAGAGACAGAACCCCCTCAAAGCCTCACACTGTTTTGCTTCCCATTGTGTTTTCTGGCAGTGAGATAGCAAATGCTTCCTGCACACCTGCTATGTTCGGGCTCTTTGCTAAGTGCTTTACATGTGTTATCTCATTTAATCTTCCTTTCAAACTTACGCAGTTCGGATAATTGTTGCCCTGGGGGTGGCAGGTGGGAATTGGAATTCAAGTACGTATGACAACAGACTCATGTTTTCCATGCCTGGGAAGGAGGGCTTTTACATAGTTGTGTTTGTGGTGAACATCTCATTTTGCATTTTGCTATTTTTACATAACATTATCTTGTACGATTTTTCCCCATCTGCTGCCAGCCTTTGTATCTATCTTTTAAAATATTTATTTAATTTTATTAATTGTTGTTATTATTAATTCATGAGAGGGAGAGAGAGAAAGTGAGAAAGCAAGCTGCCAGGTCCAGGACTTGAACTGCAATTGACCATGTGGGAGTCCAGCACCTCATCCACCATACCACTTACTGGCCCCAAGCCTTTGTATCTATTATATTTAAGGGCTGCTACTTCGAATGAAGAGGGGGACAATGGAGGATATGACAGAACTCAGCCCTATGCCTGAGCCAGAAACCCTAGCTGGCTTAGAAGGTGGCCTCACACCCAGCCCTCCCCCCCAATCCACTGCTTGTAGTTGCTGGGGTTGGGGAAAGTAGACTCTCTGAAAGCCTTTGGGGTTCCCATTTGCTGCCTCTTCCCTCTTCTGCCTTGGCTCCTATGTGCCACTGGCCTGTGTGGCAGGAAGCTTTGAGATCTAGACAGAACCAGCTCTTGGGCATCTTAGAATGCAGAGGCATGGGGTGCTGGAGAGTGCAGCTCCTGGTCGATCAGCGCTGCAGAGCTGGCAGCATTGTCTGTGTGTCCCGGGAGCCCAGCCCAGGCCTCTCCTCCTTTGGGGTTGGGGTGCACTCAGAGATAACATCAGTACCCCCATCATGCCATTGAGCCTCCCTATGGGGGGTGGAGGTGGAGAGGAGGAAAGCCAGGTTTCTTCTGCTGGGAAGTGTAGGTGAAATGAGTTGCCCACAGCAGGGTCAGGGAGGGCAGATGTCCTGGAGGACAGGAGGATGTGGCCAGGGCACAGTCTTCCCAGCTGAGAACAGCCCGAGTGTCCCTCACTGCTCCCCTTCCCCTTGTCCTGCAGGGAGAAGGGCAGCCTGGCCCACAGCCTGCAGGCGGCCCAGCAGGAGGCTGAGGAGCTGAGGCAGGAGCGGGACAAGCTGCAAGCCTCCCAGGAGGAGCTGCGTCGCCAGCGGGACCGGCTGGAGGAAGAGCAGGAGGACGTGGTGCAGGATAGCGCGCGGACTCGCAGGGAGCTGGAGCGCAGGTGGGCAGCTTCCCGCCTCCCTGCCAGGGCCCTTCAGATGCACCTCAGGGCTCCCACCAGTGTCTCTGGGGCTCCCTGTGATGTGGGGTCTTCTAACCAGCCCCATTCTAGGGAACTGAAGCTCAGGGAGGTAGAGTCACTTGCCAGGGATCAGAGAACTGGTGGGAAGTAGAGCTCAGATGATAATAATGAATAATAATGACAATAATTAAAATAACAGTAGTAATTGATAATGCAAATATGAATTTTTTTTAAGAATTATTTTATCTTTTTTTATTTATTTATTTTTGTTTGACCAGAGAGTAATAGAGTGAGAGAGAAAGTGAGAAAGCAAACTACCAGGTCCAGGACTCAAACCATGGTTGGCCATGTGGGAATCCAGTGCCCTTAAACACCACACCACCTGTTGGCCACCACTGAATATACATCTTAAAATTATTTATTTATTTTTAGAGAATTATTTAATTTTATTTATCATCATTTTTATTTTTTAAATTTGATATAGGCATTTACCAGGGAGAGACAGAGAGAGAAAGTGAGAAAGCAAGCCATTAGGTCCAGGACTTGAACCATGGTTCAAGTGGGAGTCCAGCGCCCAATCACCACGCTATTTGCTGGCCCCTAATTCTTAAATTTAAAGTTACAATGACAATGTCAGCACTAGAGACCATTTTAAACACTTAGTTGTATTCATTTAGCCTTTATGCTAACTCTCACGGAGATGTTATTATCATCTCCATTTTGTGGATGGTCAAACTGAGGCACAAAGAGGTCGTGGGACTTGCCCCAGGTCACACAGCCAGTTGGTTGAAGAGTCAGAAGGTTTTGTTTTTTTCTGTTAAGTAGGTACATGTGCTTGCTAGAGAGAAGCAGAGAGGCAGAGAGAGAGGGAGATGGAGAGGGACAATGTAACCCCCCAGCCATGCATGGCCACACCCAAATCGCTTTTTCTCCATTCCTTTCTTTCTTTCTTTTTTCCCTCTCTTTTTTTGGAGAGGTTTTTGCTATAGGGCACGTGCGCTCGCCAGAAAGACAGAGAGACAGGAAGCGAAAAATCACCCCCCAGAAAGGATGGCCACACTGCAATTCTTTCTCCTCCATTCTCCTCTCGGAATCTTGGGCACACACGCACATGCGCCCGGCGTGAGTTTAAGCCACTGGGTCCAGGACTCAAACTACAGTCGACTACATGGGAGTCTAGTGACATAGCCATTACACTAACTGCTGGTCCCTCTTTCTTTTAAAAAGTAATTATTTAATTTTGTTTTCTTCCTTCCTTTCTTTTTTTTTTAAAGAGGTATTTTTGCTGTAAGGGTGCATGTACTTGCCAGCGAGACAGAGACAGAAAGCAAGAAATCACCTCCCAGGGGAGATAGCCACACTGCAATCCCTTCTCCTTCATTGTTCTTTTGGGATTTTGGGCATGCACACACACATGCCTGATGTGAGATTTTTCTTTATTTTTAAATAATTTTTGAAGGTTTTTTTAATTTATTTTATTTTATATACAAATAGCCAGCATGATTTCTTTCACTGGGTGGATATCTTGGACAATCCATTCAAGGAAGATCATTTAGTCCAACTTGAAGCTTGTGTCCTTCGGTGCTGATGGAAACACTGATGGCACATGTTGAGGCTCTATTTCCGGATCAGGCCATGCCTGTTCGAGCACACGCGGCAAGAGCGAGAGCCCTGGTCGAATTTTTGGGGTGGCTTCAGTAGAGCTGCTGCTGACACATCCAGTGGGCCAACGAAGCAAGAGGAAAGAGCTCATGCATGCGTGTGCTCTTCAAGTTTTGGGAGCCATACTCTACCCAGAATGCCTTTTTAAAATAATTATTTTATTTAACTTTATTCATTATTATTATTTTTTAGTTTGATCAGAGAGAGACAGAGAGGGAGGCGTGACCGTCCCCGCTGGGGGATGATTTCTCGCTTTCTGTCTCTCTGTCTCTCTCTGTCTTTCTGGCGAGTACACAAGCCCTGTAGCAAAAAAACTCTCAAAAAAATTGCAATTTAATCTTGCACCTTTTTATAGAGGTTTTAGCTTTAGGGCACACATGCTCTCCAGAGAGAGAGAGAGAGACAGAGACAGTAAGAGGAAAAGGGAGAAATCTCTCTCTCCCAGGGAGATGGCCATGCTGCAATCCCTTTTCTTCCATTCTCTCCTGGGACTTTGGGCATGCATACACACACATGCCTGGTTTGAGTTTCAAGTCACCATGTCCATGACTCAAACTGTGGTCGGCCATGTGGGAGTGTCCAGTGCCTTAACCACTATGCCACCTCCTAGATCCCCCTAATTTTATTTATTATTAATATTTTTTTAATTTTATTTTTCCCATGGGGCATGTATACTCACTAGAAAAACAGAGAGAGACAGAGAGACAGACAGAAAGTGAGAAATCACCCCCCAGGAGGGATAGCCATGCCACAGTCCCTTTGCCCTTCTCCTCTCAGGACTTTGAGAATACAAGCACACACCCAGCATGAGTTTAAGCTGCTGGGTGTGGGCCTCAAACGTGGGAGTCTAGCACCCCAACTACTATGCCACCTACTGGCCCACTGTTACTATTTTTTAATTTTCTCTAGTGCATGTTTGCTCACCAGAGAGAGACAGAGAGAAGGAGAGAGAGAAGGAAAACGAGAAAGCAAGCCACCAGGTTTGCGACTCAGGAGTCCAGCGCCCAACCATCTTGCCACCTGTAGGTCCCCCTTTTTCTCCATTTCTTCTCCATGTTGGGATTTTGGGCACACGTGCATTCGATGTGTTTTCTTTCTTTTTAATAATTATTTTTTATTTAACTTTATTTCTTTATTTTAATTTGATCAGAGAGGGACAGAGAGAAAGAGAAAGTGAGAAAGCAAGCCGCCGGGTCTGGGATTCGAACCGTGGTCAGCCATGTGGGAGCCCAGCATCCTTAACCACCACATCACCTGCCAGCTCCTCAGTGTGTTTTCCTAACCTCCGGGTCTGGGATTTAAACTGAGTAGGTGGCTATGTGAGACCCAGCTGTATTGTTTACTAGGGGACAGAGCTGGCATGAAGAGCCAGACCCTGAACCAGGCATTCTGCCTCAGAGATCACTCTAAGCACTGCCCGTCCACCTCTCAGACATTAGTTATGAGGTTTCGTACAATGTGAGGGTGGATATTGTGTCCGAAGGCCCTTGGGGAGATGTGTCAGGCACTGTTTTAAGAACGTCGTGCACAGAAAGCACACGTATCCATAGCTACTTAGGTTCATGTACAACTCCACGAGGCAGGTGGCAGCCCACTGCACAGATGTGAAGACTGACACAGGCAGTGGGCATGGCTGTCCTTGTGGATGAAGCTCCCCTTAGGCTCCTTCCTTGAGCCTGGCTGCAGAAGGCGCAGGGCAGGGGGTGATGTGGGCACCCTCTGTCCCACAGCCATAGGCAACTGGAGCAATTGGAGGTGAAGCGCTCGGGGCTGGCCAAGGAGCTGCTGGAGGTGCGGGAGGCGCTGAGCTGTGCCACGCTGCAGCGGGACATGCTGCAGGCTGAGAAGGCCGAGGTGGCCGAGGCTCTGACCAAGGTGGGTCCTTACTTGTCACACACCACAAACCTCCTCTGATCCCAAGTTCCGAGGCTTCTCCTCTTCTCACAGATGGATTCCTATTTCAGGCTGACCCCTGACCTCTTCCTTCTGGCCATAGCCTGGCCTTTGACCCAGGCCATAGCTTGGCCTCCAGTGCTAGCCATGAGTGGCTCGGCCTCTGTTATTGGCCATGTCCCTGCTTTCAGATGCTCTCGGGAACAGTGACTGTGTCTCGGAGGTCACCGAGCCAGAGAATCCCTGGTGGATGCCCACCTCACTCCCTGCTCCCTGGTCTCTGAGCACTGCCACTAGGCTCCACTCAGGGGGACCCTCTGACCCTGGCCCTGCCCTGCAGCATACGCCGGGTCCATTTGTTCTAGCACAGCTTTGCGGGGTGGCTTTTAAACAGCCTCGCAGGTGGCTGGCCTTCTCCAGTGACTATTTTCCTGATTTGTGTTTGTGTCCCCTGCCCCATCTCTGCGGGTCCATCTCTCTGTGTCCTTTTCTTCCCATCTCACATCGTCTCTCCCTGCCTGGCTGCTCGGGCGCGTTGGTCCTGACCCTGTAGGCCGAGGCTGGCCGTGTGGAGCTCGAGCTCTCGATGACCAAGCTGAGGACTGAGGAAACCTCTCTGCGGGACTCCCTGTCCAAGCTGAGTGCCCTCAATGAGAGCCTCGCCCAGGATAAGCTGGGTCTCAACCGTCTTGTGGCCCAGGTACGCCATGCCCTGTGGGCCCGCCCGCCTTGCCCAGCTGTCATGCCTGCCCAGTAAGACCCTGCTGAGACCCAGACCCTGTGCCATCTGTCTTGGTCCCTGCTGCTTTCTCTCTCTGTCCTGTCTCTGTCTGTCCATCCATCTTATTCCAGGTGTCAGTGAAAAGCTCCATGGACCCCTCCCTCTGCCCTCCCTGGTACCCACATCCCCAAGGGCACTGCCCCTCACCCTGTGGGGAGCACCCCCTGGGGCTGGCTGTGACAGCTGGGTGGGTGGTGGAGGCACCCTGGTCCAGGGGGATCCCGTTTACTCGGCCTCACCTGCACGGGCCCCCACAGCTGGAGGAGGAGAAGGTCGCTCTGCTGGGCCGGCAGCGGCAGGCGGAGCAGGAGGCCGCGCTGGCTCTGGAGGAGCAGGAGCGGCTGGAGCAGCTGCGGCTGGAGCAAGAAGTGGAGCGGCAGGGCCTGGAGGGCTCCCTGAGGGTGGCAGAGCAGGCCCGGGAGGCCCTGGAGCAGCAGCTCCCCACGCTGCGCCAGGAGCGCAGCCGGCTGCAGGAAGAGCTGGCCCAGGTGGGTTGTGAGGGGTGTGGGGCAGGAGGGGAGCGTCCTGCATCCTATCCTGGCTCAGGGTCCCTGGCTCAGGAACCTACTTCTGGGTCTAAATCCAGTCCCCCTTTGCTAGCTGGGGACCTTGGCAAGCTCCACAACCCCCATGCCTCGGTCAACCCATCTGTAATATGGGGTTGAGGGATACGGGTTCTGCGGCATACGTGAGGAACCCCAGAATGCACTGACAAGGGCCTGCACTGCCACGCTCAGCAGACATATTACAATCGGGACGACTTCAGAACTGCCATCAGACTTCGGGACATCAGAGCTGGTCAGGAACCTTAGGGTTTTAGGGACCCAAGGACCTTTAAGCAGTGTCCATCCTGGAGGGCCAGAGTTACTGGGAAGGGCCTCAGGAGGATGGGCATGGGGTGTAGGAAGCAGGCTGTGGTCCCCACTCTGAGGCCTGCAGAGTAGCTCCACTTGGGTCTATGGTATATATTCAGCTTATTGAAGTTTTGGGGTGAAGAAAAGGTTCTGTTCTGCCCCGAGCTGAGAGGGCCCTCCCTGTGCATTGCAGACCGAGAGAAGCCCATGCTTTCTCAAGCACCTATAGCACATCAGGGCAGATCCTGAGCTCGGGCCCTGGCTTCTGGCTTGTGGCCAGAGCTGGTAGGGTCTGGAGTTGGGGTGATGCATGATGAGCAGCTGGGGGTTCTGGAGGTGGTGCTCACAGGCCCCGGGTGGGATCAGCTCTGCCGGCAGCTGAGCGGGCGGGAGCAGGAGCTGGAGCAGGCCCGGCGAGAGTCGCAGCGGCAGGCAGAGTCGCTGGAGCGCGCAGCCCGGGAAAAGGAGGCGCTGGCCAAGGAGCGGTCCGGCCTGGCCGTGCAGCTGGCAACGGTGGAGCGTGAAGGGCGAACTCTGTCAGAGGAGGCCACGCGCCTGCGGTAAGGCCTGGGGTTCTGCCAAGCCCATCCTGGGGGGTCTGCCTGGGGCCACACCAGGACTAGCCACGCCCTGGCAATGGCCCGCTGGGGTGGTTACTTAGGAGTCAGCTTGCCAACACAGCCCAGCCCTGGCTGGGCTTCCCTAGAGAGCACGGCCTGGCCAGGCAGGTAGGCCAGTACTCGGTTGTTCTGGCCACGCCTTGAGCTCCACAGTTTGCTGAGGCCTCAGGGCCTGTGTGTGCAGCCTGGAGAAGGAAGCCCTGGAGAGCAGCCTGTTTGAGGTGCAACGGCAGCTCGCCCAGCTCGAGGCCCGCCGGGAGCAGCTGGAAGCTGATGGGCAGGCCCTGCTGCTGGCCAAGGAGGCCCTGACTGGTACGAGGGGCCCAGGGCCGGTGGGGAACACTGGGCTCCAGCCTAGACTGCACCCCAGAGCTCTGGGGTCTCAGAGGAGTTAGGAGCACTGGCTTAGGAGTCTGGCTGACCTGGGTTCCCATCCTGCACTGCTCTAGATCTGAGCTTCCCTGGAGCAAGCCCCTTCTCTCCTGGCCACAGGTTTGTCACCTGATAATAGAGGTGATAATGCCCCCCTTCTAAGCCTGTTGCCAGGCAAAGGTGAGAAAAGCATGCCGGGCCTTGGCCCAGAGCCTGATTCCGTCTACAGTGGCTGCTGTTTGTTCGTCACCAGGGCAGGTAGAGTTCTGCATTCTCTGCGGAGCTACCAGCTGCTTTTCTAATTATAATCCAAGCCCCACTTCTCCGCAAGTGGGGAGTTCAGTCTCTGAACTCGGGTTCTTCCCGTTCATCAAATGTTAACGAAGCACCTACTTGGGTCAAGGAAATTCATTTATCTATCCATGTGCACCTGGGCCAGACAGAACCAGGAAGGGGAATGCTGGTGGGTTTCTAGCCCAGGAGCCGTGTTTTGGTGCTTCGTGGCAGGTGGACCTTCCTTGGGGGTCACCTCTGTTAGTGCTGACAGTTAATGTTCAGCCAAGTGTACCAGTGGCAGTCGGTGCACTGAAAGGAGCTGCTTTATGGAAAGCTGTACAGCTTTGGGAACTGGCTGCTCTGCTCTGAGCCTCCCTGCTGTCATCTGTAAACAGGGATGAGTGTTACGAAACGAGACTGTCTATAGAGTACTTAGCCAGTACTCGACTCATAGTAGGTCCTCAGTCAATAATGTTGTTCTAGTTTTGATATTCTTCCCATTTGGAGGGGTCTTTCTCATCAAGCATTTTACCTCTTTGATGTTGTTGGTAGGCCTGGGAGGGGACAGGGCCTCCTGGCCCCTGCAGCGGATGGGTAAACTAAAGGCCCAGAGAGGGCAAGCCACTTCTCTAAGGGAAACCAGCTTAAGTGCCAGGCAGGCCCTCTCCCCTCTGGGATTTCATGCACTTTGCTCACTTGGTCCAAGTCCACTGGCCCAAGGTGAGGTTTTGACCCAACCCTGTACTCCCCTCCGCCTCTCGTGCAGGGGAGCTGGCAGGCCTGCGGCAACAGCTGGCAACCACAGAGGAGAAGGCAGCTCTGGACAAGGAGCTCATGACCCAGAAGCTGGTCCAGGCTGAGCGGGAGGCACAGGCCTCTCTGCGGGAACAGCGGGCAGTCCACGAGGAGGACTTGCTGCGACTCCAGCGTGAGAAGGTTCAGGCAGCTGGGTGGGGGTGGACAGGGCTCTGAGCCGGGCTCCTCTGTGACCTTGGGTGAATCGCCTCATTCCTCTGCTGGGTTCTCCAATTCTGTGAAATGGGCTTTGTCTCTGCTGCTGCGGCTCTGGGGCAGCTGAGAGGATCCATGGGCAGAGTCCGGTGTGGGGGTTCTTATCAGACATGCAGATTCCCAGGTCCCAGATCTGGACTGGCCGCAATAAAGGGAGTCCACAACCCTACTTAAGAAATGCAAGGCGGGGGAGACCAGCAGTTAACATAATGGCTCTGTCGCTGGACTCCCACGTAGTTGACCGCGGTTCGAGTCCTGGACCCGGCAACTTAAACTCATGCCGGGTGTGTATGCATGCGTGCCCAGGATCCTGAGAGGAGAATGGAGGAGAAGGGATTGTGGCGTGGCCATTCCCTCTGGGGGGTGATTTCTCGCTTTCTATCTCTCTGTCTCTGTCTGTCTGTCTGGCGAGCGCACACGCCCTATAGCAAAAACCTCTCCA